AGGGAGGGAGGTCAAGATGGAAAGTAGAGAGAGTGGATGTAGGAAACATGGGTGATGGAAGAAGGGGTAGGTGAGTAGATGGGTGAATAAGGGATGGAGAGGGAAGGAAGGGCATCTAGATGGGTAAATGCAAAGAGAGAGGAGGCGTGAGAGGGTGGAAGGACAGGTGGATGGTGAAAGGACAGGTAGAAACATAGAAACCTACAATGAGATGCGGCCCAGGAGGGCACAGATCTAGTCCCCCACAGGTGCATGCTCTTACAGGTGTGGGTGACACGCCCTTCCCCTCGCTGGCCCCACCCATCACGCTGCTGGTGGACGGGAAGCAGCAGATGCTGGTGGTCTGCCTGGTCCTGGATGTGGCACCCCCTGGCCTTGAGAGCCCCATCTGGTTCTCAGCTGGCAATGGCAGCGCACTGGACGCCTTCATCTATGGCCCTTCCCCAGCTGCAGACGGCACCTGGACTAGCTTGGCCCAGCTATCCCTGCCCTCTGAGGAGCTGGCATCGTGGGAAACCTTGGTCTGCCACACCGGGCCTGGGGCTGGGGACCACAGCCAGAGCACACAGCCCCTACAGCTCTCAGGTGCGGATGGAGCCTGGGGCCTTTCGCACACCCTGGAACCAGGATGTGGTGGGAGGGAAGGCAGGCCCAGACCGTGGGGGAATGAAGGGTGTCCGGTGCAGACCATCTAGGTGAGGTGATGCCTGGGCTCACAGCAGGGTCACCTCAGGGCCCTGAGGCCTGGGATTTACAACCGTGACACTTTATTCAATTCAGGCTCTGCTGGGTCATTCCAATAATGCCTCCTCCCTCCTAGGATTGAGATATATACCAAGGTATATATTTGAACCCTATTACCTAGGGCTAGCATCTCTCTATATATACCTAGGATTAATATCTAGATATCACCCTACGTAGGACACCCTACCTATTAGAACCAAAACAATAATTAAACAATAAATTGCTATCACTTACTTATTCAGTGTTTACTCTATGCCAGGAACTATTGTAAACACTTTACATTTATGAAGTAGGTCATATAATTTTCCTCTTTTACAGGCACAGAGAAGTTAAGTAATGTGTCCAAAGCGAGCTATTATTACTACTTCATTAATAACCAGATGACTTCCTTCCTCTTTTTGGATTATGTTAGTTTTGTCACCTTCCAAATGGGAACATGTGTTGAACAAATGCTCTGCCTTCCAAAGAAGGCCTCCAGGGGACACAGAACAGGGGACAGCAGGGAGTGAGGGAGATCTGGGCCCCTCAGAGGACTTGAGGCAAATGGGCTCAGCGTTCCCACTGCTGGTTCATTTGTCCATTTATCCAACATGCCTGTGTCAGGGCCTGGGCGTAGCACTGGGGTGGAGGGCACAGCATCCCAAATCTCACTCCCTTCTCCTTGGCTGGCAGGAGAGACTTCTTCAGCTAGGACCTGTCTCTGGGAACCGCTCAGGGGTGAGTACTGGGGACCAGCAGCTTAGACTCCCTTGGGCTCTGGCCCGATGGGTCCTACTGGGGGTTGGGAGGTGTTTGAGGAGGAGGCTGACTTGCTAGGTTGGTGCACTGGCCAGCCTGGGCCTCTGTCTACCAGTGGGCAAGGTCGTCTGGCCCCAGTCCAGTTCCTGGACACCGGTTGAGAAGCACAGGTGAGAGCGAACAGAAGGGTCCATGAAGCGCTCCGTGGGCAGCCCAGGGGCACGGGCTCAGCATCAGAGCTTTGGGAGTCTCCCAAGACTGTCTGGGGGGTGGAAGGTCCCACCACCCGCTGGGCACAGTCACCAGTCGGGTTCTCCTCCTGGCCAGATGGAGACTTTTGAGCTGGCTCCTCTCTGCCTCGGATGCTCGCTCCTGCGGGGCCTCCATGCCCCTGGTTTGGGGGGAATAGAATAAAATGAAGGCCAGGCAGGTATCTGTTATTATTACCAGTAAGAGTTGAGGTTAGACGCCAGGAAGGCCTTTCCCTGCGTTGGGGGACGGCGTGGAGGAGGACCGGAG